CTTTCCGCTGCTGGGACTGAAACTTAGTATCCATCTGTGTGCTTGATTAGGACATGGCTTAGAAAATGTCATCCCTCACCTGATTAGTCAATTTGACTTACCCTCCATAACAATCTATGCAAGAGTGCAAGACTTGGTTCCTGAGTGAATTACCCCATGGGATTGTGAAGAACATACCGAGGTTCTTCTTGGACATGGAGGTCTTTTAACTATGATTTTAGCATTATCAAACAAGGTCCAGGGTCCCGTAAGTTTCAAACCTTCTTACCGGACAGAGTAGAGACTATGCAAATTGGCTTCTTGTTTTAGTGACGAAGTTGACGTTGATTCTGCTTGGTTGATTGGTCAAACTTCTTGTTGGGAGTTCTTTCTTGGGAATTCAGAGGGGAGAAATAGACCGGTAGTCAAACAACAGAGTTGGTCAACCTCCTTCAACAAATAGAGAATCTTAGAGACTGCTTAAGTTTGGTCTAGAGGATTGATTATCAAATAGTGTAGTCAATGCTCTTCCACCAACTAGAGAATGTATGAGTTTGTTTACTTAATGATCGGAGCAGCCATGGTTGTGCTCAAGTAGGTGTAAGATGTTTTGTGATGTTTGGTCTCCAGACTCCCTTGTTAGGTTGTATTTCTTCTATGGGATGATACTTGTTTTCCTGAGAGTACGACAACTTTGTACTTAAACACAATCCTTCGTTTCTTGTGTTCCTTTGTAGAATCTAGTCTGATGCTCTGTTGCTTGATTTTGACACGAAGGATTGAGAGTACGACAACTTTGCACTCATACACAAATTTAATTATAAGAATGCTTTGATTTTGGGGGTAGAATGGTGGAGCCACTGGGACTATTGGAAAGCGATTGAGATATTTAAAAAAAAAGGTCCTGGCTGATTGGCCCTTAGTTGCATGACACAGATTGATGATCTAATGAAATAGGCTGGCTATCGCAGTAGCATGGAAATTCCCAAGATACTAATGTAATTTGTAATGATGGTCCATTAAGATTTTTTCTATATTGTCAAAACAGATTCCTCCACTGCTAGCACTTCATAGTGCAACATGATATGTAGGTAGCTGTTTGGAACTATCTGTATGAGTGCAATTGCCTATACTTTTTTTTAGTATTATTGTTTCTTAGTATGTTTGATTGTTCTGCTCGTAGCATATTGGGCGTAAGGAAACACTGGACTTGTCATTTAAGATCATTTCATATATTCTGATTATTATCATGGAGGATAACTTCTTGGTAATGGCTATTAAGGTCCATTGATTTTTCCTGATATACCTAGCAATAGTTCAGAGCTTCCCACCTAATATGCCTTGTTACATCTTTTGCATGAAAACCACATACCCCTGCTGTCTGTACGCTGATAGTGTGGTTTTACTTGGTCACCTGAAGAAGGAGTAGATCATGAATTGTCTCGTATGGAGGATTTTGGGAATTCCAAGCTTCATATGATTTTATTAAGCCGTGCTAGTTGTTTGCATTATTTGTTGTTTGTTGCCTGCACCTGTTCTTCATTTGGATTTATATTCTTGAAGTTGAACTGCTAGACCAAAATGTCCTTATTTGAAATAAGTTATTCATACTATCTTATCTTCTGCTGTGTACAGGTCATGATCAACTAATGCCCATTCATTTATTATGGACTTGCACCAGTTGTTAAAGTACAGATTAACTGGTGCTAACATCTTCTACGAATTTCCTACAGAGAACAACTTAGCAAACACTCCTTGGCCAGCTAGTCCACTGAAGTCTGAGTTCAGCAGCTCCCCATACACTCCTGTTTCATCCCAGCTTGAGTGTGATAATTTGTCTGCTCTTAGCAATACTCCAGATAACCAGAGCTCCACAGAAACCATTTCAGCACAACCAATATCACCACTGGAAGTAGACAGCTCATACAGACAGGCAGCTATCCTTCGGGAGAACACCCAAGTGAGACTTGATCCATTGTACGCAACATCAAGGCATAATATGCAACACACTTTACGGGAGATAGAGACTGTTCTGATGGCACCTGATGGTGAGGATGCAGCCACTAGCACCAAGCATGAATTTGAGGAACATAAACCTGCTCAGCTGATGAGGCAGCGGTCGAGGACATGGAGTCATGAATCAAGGCAGCCATTACCAGGAGTTGTACGGACACAATTTGCATCTGGATACCCCACAGCAAGCTATGAATTCCGCCCAGAGAAACGGCTAAGGGAGTTAAGGGAGGATCCGCAGAGCATGGTGAAGCAGCTATTAACCAAGTGTGCTGAAGCATTAAGTGAGGAGAGGATAGAGGAGTTCCTTAACCTTGTTCAGCAAGCTCGTGGAGTTGTATCAATTACTGGAGAGCCAATCCAGCGGTTAGGTGCTTACCTTCTTGAGGGTTTGGTTGCTAGACATGCAAACTCAGGTACAAACATATATCGTGCTCTGAAGTGCCGTGAACCAGAGAGTAATGAACTCTTGTCTTACATGAAGATTTTATATAATATCTGTCCGTACTTCAAGTTTGGCTATATGGCTGCCAATGGGGCAATTGCAGAAGCATTAAGAAATGAAGACAAAATCCATATAATTGATTTCCAGATTGCTCAAGGGACACAATGGATAACACTGATACAAGCGCTCGCTGCAAGGCCAGGGGGTCCACCACATGTGCGGATCACTGGAATAGATGATCCAGTGTCAGAGTATGCTCGTGGTGAAGGTCTGGACCTTGTAGGGAAGATGTTGAAAAGCATGTCTGAAGAATTCAAGATACCTTTGGAGTTTACCCCTCTGCCTGGTGTTTATGCAACTCAAGTTACAAAAGAATTTCTCGACATCAGGCCAGGCGAAGCACTTGCTGTCAACTTCACTCTGCAGCTGCACCACACCCCAGATGAGAGTGTGGACGTGAACAACCCACGGGACGGGCTACTCCGGATGGTGAAAGGTCTGTCTCCAAAGGTGACCACACTTGTGGAACAGGAGTCGCACACCAACACGACCCCGTTCTTGATGCGGTTCACCGAGACCTTGGACTACTACTCGGCCATGTTCGAATCGATCGACACGAACCTGCCACGGGAAAACAAGGAGCGAATTAATGTGGAGCAGCACTGCCTCGCCAAGGACATTGTGAACATCATCGCCTGCGAGGGGAAGGACCGGGTTGAGCGGCACGAGCTCCTGGGTAAGTGGCGGTCAAGGCTGACCATGGCCGGGTTCAGACCATACCCGCTGAGCTCGTACGTGAACTCGGTGATCAGGAAGCTCCTTGCATGCTACTCGGACAAGTACACCCTGGAGGAAAAGGATGGCGCGATGCTGCTCGGCTGGAAGAACAGGAAGTTGATATCTGCTTCTGCGTGGCACTGACAACAAGTTTTCAGGAGGACAGAAGTAAACCCAACTCTTACATATATATGAAAAAATATATATAGTGAATTACTTGGTCTGCTTTCCCAAAAAGGATGCCCTTTGTTGTACATTGTACATGATGCTGTACCCTTAGTTTTCCTAAAGTGCAGACCAGAGAACATCGACATTAGATTGTAGCTGTATGGTAATTACAATTTTCTTGTGCTCTTATGTATTCACACCTGTCATAGCCTTCCGGTATCTTCGTTGTACTTCTCTGCTGATCAGCAAACCTTGTCAGTCCCTCGTCTGCTCAGGTAAGCAGTAAGTTTATCAGCAGACTCACTCACTATGGTTAGAGGTAGAAGAAGATATTAAGAACAGCTCACACACACAGCACAAGCTCAGCACTGGCCGAAAGCTTTGCTTTTGAATGTGGCAAACTGAACTGTCTTTACTGAGTTGTAGTGGGAAGCTATATATATAGCTTTACCCATCTAATCTTAGTACATAGGCATGTCATACATGCTATGTTATTATAAATGATTAGAAGCGACAAAGCAGAGTGATTTTTGGCGTCTGCCCTCTTTGTTGCTCTGATGTAGCAGGGGAGGCTTTCGCCATCTGTCCCCTCTGTAGTCTGAAGCAGCAAGAAATAGGGGAGCCCTTTCGGTATCTCTGCTCCGCCACACAGACATGAAAAGAGCAGCAGATTACTCTACAAACCTGCTGAAATGCTTAACATGCCCCTGCGAGGGAAGATGGAAGTTCAGTCTTTCATATGCGAGATCCAAGTTTGGACAGGCAAATTGTGCTGATTTTTATGATCTGTGAATCACCATCGTTCACGAAAGAACAGATGGAGTTCATAGATACCGTTCATCTCATTCTACACAGAATGTACACTGATGCTGAGACGAGGTATCGGACAAATCCGGCGTTGCCGACATCAAGTGGTCATTTTCTCTCGTACTGCTGAAGAAACTGAATCTGGTCGTCTGAAATTCTGGCGATGGAGCCCCAGCACGGGGTCCGCGCAGCACGGGCACCAGAGCACTCCAAAACAAGCGACAAAGGTAGGCTCTGCTTGGCACAACCATCCAAACTCCAGAGACTGAGCTCCGCTTTTAGCTTTATCTGAGACCGACTGAGAAGGACTGAATGAGTGTTTCCCTGTGCACGGACGCGTAAGGCCCTGTTCTCAGCCGTACCGTTTTAGCAAAATAATAGTGTTTTTATCTCACAACAAATCAGCATCAACATTAGCATTAGCCATTTTTCCAGCCAGCCTGAACAGAGCCCGGATTTACATTGGCACAAACATTGTACCGCTCACAAGGCCCCAGCACCACGCAACCATGCTATGATTATTCCTTTCCTCTCTCGCGTGGGTATGGTCCCTTGCGTATTCTGACAAACAAACAAAGAAAGGAGATTAAGGCCTTGTTTAAATCTAGGGTGTAAAGTTTTGGGGTGTTACATGGGGCTTAAGAAACTGACGTGTTCTCAACAAATCAGTCTGTGGAACCATATCTTTTTTCAAAGTTACCAAATGAAAGAGAAGCTATTTATGGTGCATTGGACAAGTGGAGTGCTTTTGAGCCTGAATTTCCTATTATAAGTGCAGCAAAAGCTTTGGGGTGTTGAAAAGGCGACGACAATGGCTAAGGATAATCCAGGTATGATCATTATGGACAAAATCTATAGTAGTTGCTAGCAAGTCAAGAGTTTTGGTGTTCTTATTTGGAGTTCTGCTATTGCAGTTTCTGATAGTAGACTTGTTTTGCTAGTCACCTGCTGAATGTCAATGCTTTTCACAGGTAACCAAGTGGTTGATGAGCAAAGGCCAGGTGCTGACATGGACAATGTATGATATACTTCTGCTCGCACTTTTTATGGATAAACGGGTAGATGAAGCCGAGTCAATTTGGAATACTGTAATACAGACTCATATGCGCTCAGTGCCCAAGAGGTTGTTCTCTCGGATGATCTTGATGTATGACATTCACCAACGTCCAGATAAAGTTTTGGAGGTATATCTTACTCATTTTCACCTTCTTGTAGGATTAAGCGACATTATCCCCGCCTCCCCTCCCCTCCCCTCCCCTCACTGTAATTGAATATGTGGCTCATTACTGGCTTTCTTTATGTTCCAACTGTATTTGTTGACCGGTACATGAATTATGAGTCAATCTTTTCATTGAAACCATAATTATGAGTTCACTGATGCTTCAGTTGTGAAAATTATGCAAGCCACGTGCCGTTCAATGTTCTTAGAAATGCTAACCAGTATTCATATAGTCACCCATCTGGTACTGGTCACAGCTTATTCAGCCTGACTGACAGATCATATGGGAACAGGATGGGAATGAATTCCTTGTATGTGGTCTAGCAGACCTGTTTCCATTACACTTGTCTAGCTGGCTGGTCAGATTTGTAACTTAGCTTTTGTGTTAAAAAAGAGATTCCTGGAAGTCTTACTGTGTTCTTGTTGCCAATTTCAGATATACGCTGACATGGAGGAATTAGGGGTGCGTCCAGATGAGGATACAGCGAGACGGATTGGAAAAGCATTCATGGCTTTTGGCCAAGAAGAAAAAGAAAAACACGTCCTCGAGAAATACTTGAAAAAGTGGAAGTACATCCATTTCAACGGTGAGCGTGTTCGGGTGCGGAGGGACGGACCATTGGCATAGTCCCCATTTTCAGGAACGCTTGAACCTACCAGTATACACATGTTATCAGCACTCGCCCTCCACTGCTCTAGCCTGTGGAGACAAATGAAGAGCGGACGGGTGGCTGGCTACTACCACTGACGAGATAGTGATTTAGGTACTGTAGAGGCATCCAGTGATTGTGATGGTTTAACTTGCATATGTGTCCGTGGAATGATCCCGTCTATGTTCTGATCCGTGTATGTGAAATCGTGAACCAATTCCGTACCATATCATGCGAGGAACAATACCTGACAGTTGGGCCCATGTCTTGCAAATTGCATTCGACGAACCCTTTCTCTGTTTCTTGCGGTGTTCCGGGGTTTTGTTTTTATACTTGCTCTATTCTTGTGAAGTTGTGATATGTATCGTGCGCATATCGCATACTGGCGTACAGCTATTGGTTTTATCCATTCTTGTGCTGCCCATCCTTCTTCAGCAAATGATCATGCGAGTTGCATTCCGTTTGTTCTGCCTGCCACTCAACCCACATGGTGCGTGTCAGTGTTTGGCTGAATGCTGCTGGAGCTTGGGTTCGTTTGAGCCATGCGACGGCATGGCTGGGCGACGGACCGGACGGTTGCTTGCCGCTTGCAGCCAGAGCGAGTGGCACAAGCACCCGCAGGAATGAGCGCGCGCGGCCTGCCCGTGTCGCTTTCGCCGTCAGCCGTCACCGCTCTACTGGAGGCTTCCGTGTCCCGCGAAACACGATACCTACGGGGGGACGAGCCGTTGTCCTGATCCGGCGGTCGGCGTCAGTTTCACTCGACTCGAACCCCTCGGTTGCCACATCTCCCGCGGATGATCTGACGTCGACAGCTGCCGCTCATCTATCCAGTTCAGCCCCCACGCGTCCTCCCGTGCCGTGCAAGTGTGCAACCGCATCGCAAAGGGGCTGCGCGAATTCAATTCCTCGTATATGTGTGCCTAGCTCATGGTTTTTCGATGGTGACTACCTTGAAATATAATGAGTTTTGAGTTATTCTATAAGTCAAACTATCATCAGTTTGACTAAGTTTTCTGAAAAAACTAATAATATTTGTGATATCAAATACTCCATCCATTCTAAATTATAAGATATTTTGGCTTTTTCTAGATATATAACTGTTGCTATGAACTTAGATATACACTATGTCTAGATACATAGTAAAAATAATGTATCTAGAAAAGCCAAAACGTTTTATAATTTAAAAATAAGTATCTATCATTTAATACCTTATGAAATGTACACGTACATTTATAGTTTACCTTTAAGATTGTAAATATTAACACGAATTTTTGGCTGGCAAAAGATTGGCAGAAAACTAGACATGGAGGTTCATTTCTTTCCCTTTCTAGATAATATATTCATGCCTTGTTTAGTTCTAAAAAGTTTTCTCAAAAAGTGCTACAGTAGCTATCATATTGAATCTTGCGATACGTGCATGGAGTATTAAATGTAGACGGAAAAAAAACTAATTGCATAGTTTGATGGGAAATCGTGAGACAAATGTTTTGAACCTAATTAATCAATAATTAAACACTAATTGTTAAATAAAAACAAAAATACTACAGTAATTAAATTCCCAAATTTCACGGTACTGAACCAGGCCTCACTTTCCCACCCAAGTGACCTAATTCATAGACAATATATTCACAACACCGGTGGCTGACACGGACTAGAGAATCTCAGCCCGCCCGCACGCAGGCCCACGGACATGTGGGGCCCCCCACGCCGTCTGCCAGCCGCCAGCCGATCCCTTCCTGTTATTTATCCACGGCCCCCGGGTCCCCGCACGCCTGCACACACTCCGCGGTCCGCACACTCTCGCGGCAGCCGCAAACGCCTTCGCCGTCGCGTCACGCTCCTCCGCCGGACGCGAGCCGAGAGAGAAAGGTCGGGATGGCCGCCGCGGTGGTCGACGACGCTGGGATGGACGCCGTCCAGAAGCGCCTCATGTTCGAGGACGAGTGAGACTCCTTTCTTTCTCCTCTCCTTCCTCCCGCTACTTCTCGCTCCTCTCCCTCTGTTGCCTGCCTGTCTGTCAGTCTGTGCGTTCGCGTAGCGGCGATCTGCTTGTCCCCCGCTTGTTCCGGAACGCGCATCGATATTTGCTCGATTTCTCTGGCGCCGGGGGTGGAGTTTTCGTTCGCGGTTGCACAGCTGCCTGCTCCGCCGGATCTCGCGGCGATCGGGACGCGGGCGCGGTTTGGCTCACGGAGGCTGTTCAGCACTACTGACTCTTTGTGGCCGTGATATACTGTACCACATTTTGGTCTCACCGTCGCACGTGTTTGATGCGCTCTATGCTCGTGCTGTGGGGTGTGGGGTTAGCCGGTCAGGACTGCGTCAAAGTTCCGGGCATGCCGTGCCTGCCGAGTGCTCACTCTAGTCTAGGCTCAGTAGGTCGATGTAAGGAGGTAGGTACTTTAACTGAGCTGTTTGTTTTTTGGCATCTGGAATTCAGGTTCAGTAAGTATTTCTTTAAAAGATGATCTGGTTATGGATGTCCTTTCTGTTTAATTGATGACGGGTACTCCCTCCGTCGTGTAATGAAGGGCATTCTACCATTCAAAATTTATCTTTAAATATAATACATTCTAGAGGACAAAAACTATTTTTACATTAGATACTTTCTATTTATCAACCAATCACCATTAATCACGTTGATGATAGCGTCTGATTAGGAAATAAAATGAGGGTACAGGCGTCTTTTATGTTCATCTTAATGTGTCTTAAAATTACTATAATGCACTATATTACGGGACATAGGGAGTAAACGAGTAATTCTTTATGAGCCATGTAAGTTGTGGAGTGGATAATTGATGTGAGTAGTGTTCAGTAAATCCTGAATGGTGAGTACTTTCCAAAGTCAGGGCAATGCTATGTAAGTGCTCTTTTAGGAAGTTATTATAGTACTTACTTATAAGTGGAGTGTGGAGATTCGTGTGGGTGAACATGGATCGAAGAGAAATCTGTAGAATTTGTGGATCTGTTCCTTCCATTTTTCTTGTGATATACTCCTAGTTATTTACATGGTCATTTCGTCATATTCAAGTCATTCACTGACAATTCTTCTCGACAATGCTTGCTTGATTTTTTTTTTCACAGATGCATTTTGGTGGACGAGCAGGACAATGTTGTTGGCCATGAGTCAAAGTACAACTGTAAGATTCTATTCTGCTCTGCAGATTTACTTAATTTCTGTGCCCTCGTTAATGTTGTTTGAACTGGTTTGTGGGACAGTACTTGATTTGTTATTTGTATGTCATGTTAGGCCATCTGATGGAAAAGATCGAGTCTGAGAATCTGCTCCATAGGGCATTCAGTGTGTTCCTTTTCAACTCAAAATATGAGCTGCTACTTCAGGTTTTTTTTTACTCTGCATTTCTATGATTTATTTTTGTCTATTTTATTGCATACCTGGCAAATGTTTTAAATTTCCAGTGATTGTTTTTCCCCCTTATGTTTGAGATGGAAAGTCATGAGTAATGAAGTCCCAGGTTACCTGGTAGTGCCTTGTAATAGTAGATCTCCAGCTGGAAGTTAAGGCTCATTGAATCACCATCAATGAACTACCATTGCTTAGCATGCTGCTTTAAAAACTTGTAGACGCTGTTTCTTTTGACAGCATATATGACAGTTAGATTTGAAGTTGCCACTCCCGGTTTTTTTTTTTTTTTGAAAGAAATGGTAGAAGCTCTGCCTTTCAATTAAGGTAGTGAAAAAAGATGTTTATGTACAAAAGAGGGGAAAGCTGCTGTCACACAGCAGAGCAACTGGATGCCCCTAATCAGGATAGAAGAGCAGCCCCTATGAAAAAGCTCTTTTTCTAAAGTCTATGTCTTCCTTAATTCTCATGGCCACCTGCAGCGCTGTCTCTGTGGCATTGTTAAAAATTCTCCTATTCCTCTCTTTCCATAAATTCCAGAAGGTGTAAATCACCAAGCCATGGAATCTTCTCCGCTCCACACTAGGAACTTTACTCCCAGTATTATTGGAAGTACACATTTCATAAGTCCACGTGCTCCCTGAGACCAAAAATAGTGAGTAGCTATAGTTAAATGTTTGGGCCTTAAGTTAGAATCAGCACAATTACCATTGTCCTTGTTCAATGTTTGTTCGGTTTTTGAGCAACACATTCAATGTTTGTGACTGTCCTATTCTTTTCAAATTGTTTCTGATAAGTATCACATTCTACTCATTCTACTCATGCAGCAAAGGTCTGCGACAAAGGTTACCTTTCCTTTAGTTTGGACCAATACCTGCTGCAGCCATCCTCTGTACCGTGAGTCTGAGCTTATCCAAGAGGACTGCCTTGGTATGTTATGGGACAGCTTCTAGACTAAAATTATGTTGTTACCTTTCTGTCCTTATTGCTCTGATCATTGGGAACTTATCCTTCTCCAGGTGTGAGAAATGCAGCACAGAGGAAGCTGCTGGATGAGCTGGGCATCCCAGCAGAAGATGCCCCAGTTGACCAATTCACCCCACTCGGTCGAATGCTTTACAAGGCACCATCTGATGGAAAATGGGGGGAGCATGAGCGTAAGTTTCTGTCACCTCCTCCTCATCTACTTGCATTCAGATATTGTTTGAGTTGCAAATTGGTCGATGATATGGAAGCTATGCCTTCAAAGAGACTGTTGACACACTAGAATAGAATCCTCCATACAGATTAAACTGAACATTGTTGCTGGAAGATATTTCGCCGAGACTACTGACTGCTAATGCTAGTTGCTCCTTTTTCTTACCATCAGTTGACTACCTGCTGTTCATCGTCCGGGATGTGAAGGTGCAGCCGAACCCGGACGAAGTCGCTGATGTGAAGTACGTGAACCGCGAGGAACTCAAGGAGCTCATCCGAAAGGCAGACGCCGGCGAGGAAGGCGTGAAGATCTCCCCCTGGTTCAGGCTGGTGGTGGACAACTTCCTGATGGGCTGGTGGGACCATGTCGAGAAAGGCACCCTCGGCGAGGCTGTGGACATGGAGACCATCCATAAGCTGAAGGAGTGAGGGGCCGCCGGCCGTCTGCGATGACCTCATCGCCTGTGGCTGCTGCTGCACTGTATGTTTATCAGTTATCGCTCTTACCCGCGGAAAGTGAGCTCGACTCTGTGTTGTGTTGCCGGGGTGGAAGTATCGTTGTGGACTGATGATGAGTGCTGCTGCGGAGGGTTTTGTTCTTGTTTGTTTGTTTGTTCGGTGACCGAATGGCGAGCAGGACGCCTGTTTAACCCGTGCTTATACATCGTCCGAATAAACAGCAATAAGAAGGACATCCGCAAGCTCTTTGTGTTTTCGGTAGGCTAGGATTATTATTCTTGTAGGAGGTGGCCTGTGACTGCTTTGCGATTAGTCTGCTACTGCAGGTCTGCTGCAGTTCCATTGCTTCCTAGAGCATCTCTAAAAGCCCTTTTTTAAAACCTTCTCTAGATCATCATTTGAAGATTCATTTGAGTAAAAATATTTTTCTATATTTTTATACTCTCAATAACTTTTCTATATCTTGTGCGCAAAGAGTCATTTTGCTCTCTATTTTTGGCTTGGTTAGCGAGAAATCCGGAATAGAGGATATCTATATTTGGATATTCAATTAAGGAGGCTATTGGAGGATGGTTTTTCACTAAAATCTTCATTTGTGTAAATTAGAAAAATATAAAGGTCTTGCACAAAATGTTCCAGAAAACAAGCAGGGATGGAGTGCTCAGGCGGATGGAGCCACGTGAAGTGAAGTTCCAATGCAGTATCTATGCTGATGATGTGATAATTTTTATCAGGCCTTCAGTGCAAGAAGCAACAGCACCGCATCTTTGGCGACTCTTCCGGCTTAAAATCAAACCTTGCCAAGTGTTCCATCATCCCAATCTTTGGCGGAGAGGACAAGCTGGCGGACGTTGTCAACATCCTTGGCTGTCAAGTTCAGAACTTCCCGATCAGATACCTCGGACTACCACTGAGCACCAAGAGCATCCCCAAGACGCATTACCAGTCAGTGGTTGAAGCGATGGCGCGGAAACTGCCGCCATGTCATGGCTCGTTAATGGCTAGGAGTGGCAAAGATTGGTATGGATAAAGTCGGTCCTACGCGCAGTCCCAATCTACTCAATGATGGCAGAGAACCTACCGCTCTGGGCTAGAAAAGAAATCAATGCCATATGCCGCAAATTCTTCTGGGCTGGACGAGACGCTTCAATCAGAGGCAAATGCATGGTTGCTTGGGAGACCGTATGCAAGCCGACGAATCTCGGCGGCCTCGGTGTCAGAGACCTCAAGCTCGCTGGATACACACTGCAAGCAAGATGGCTGTGGCTACAGAAGACTGACAACGAATTCGCCTGGAGTCAGTTGCCGATCAAAACTAGTCCCGAGGTGCAAGCGTTCTTCAAAGCATCGACGTTCACGGTAATCGGCGACGGCAGACAAACTTTGTTCTGGATGGACAGCTGGCTCAATGGTGATTCCATCAACGACATAGCACCGCATCTATCTCAGTCGGTGCCGCGCCGAACTCGGAGTTCACAGACAGTGCGTGACGCCATGACAGACAGGCAATGGGTACGCAGCATCAGAGGGGGGCTATCGCTATACGCCGTCGCTGAATGCTTGACGTTATGCGACTGTCTGGAGAACGTCGAGCTCAACGATCAGCCGCATCGAACAGTGTGGCGTTGGACATCCGACGGCAGGTACTCACTCCTTGATTTGGAAAACATGGGCGCTGACGAGATCCTATCATATGGGTATGTTAAGCTTCGGGTTCAGTGATTCCTGAATGAAGAAGACCCCCGACTGACCCTTCCAGAATCGTCCAGGGGCTCGAGGGCTATACCCATCGGATGCGCTCGTGCGCACCCTCTGGAGAAGTGACCCTGCCGAGCCTGACTATGACGCGACCTCCGCTTCGGGCTCAGGCTCCCGATCTACGACGACACTTAGGCTCGGCCCTTGGCTCCTGCCTCGCCAACGACACCAACCAAGTCCCAGGCACAAGAAGACACGCCCCGAGCTACCGAGGCTTGGGGGCTCCCCGGCGCTACCCCTTGGATACGGCATTGCGACCACTTTCTCGACAAGGTCACGCACGGGACGTGACACAATAAGACAAAGCTTCCCCACGGCCTCCAGGGGCTCGGAGGCCCCCGGGCCCGCGCGTCAGCCCCTGAAGCCGACCTCTTTCACCACCAAGAAGACTACAGAAGGTCCACCTGGGGAAGCCGGTCCAAGCCGACACAGCTTGACACGCAGAGTGTCAGAACAGAGCAGCCGAACGACGCCCAAGGCTTCTTCGGCTCCACGACACTGCCACGGTCCACAGCGCGTCGCTGCAAGGCCCTCCTGGACTCCGACGCATGTAGACCATAGACTAGTTTGCCCCAACCACCATGTACCCAGCCTATCTCGTTATATAAGGGATAAGGTTGAACAACCTAGGGGGGACCGACCAACAACGGAGAAGAAGATAGACCATTCCATTCTTTGGCCTCGGCTCAGCATCGAGAGCAAGGCAACCCACCGAGGGGCACCAAGAGCTCCTCCACCGCATCCCGTCGTCTTCCTCCTCTCGGACGAGGGGAAAGCACCACCGTGGCGAGGCAACCTTAGGATTAGCACCGAGCTAACCCCCTACCAAATCTCTCTACAACCCTATCGTAACTCTCCCGATTTTGGGTGCCTTTGAGTATAAGGATGATTGGCTGCTGGACGTAGGGCACCGATTGGCCCGAACTAGGATAAACCGTTGTGTTCTCTCTGTGATTCTTGTGTTCTTGAGTTCACCTTAGCCACCAGAGACCCGTACTCTGACACCGCCTCGAACAACAATGCTTGTCACGGTTTTCGACCCTACGACAGCTGGCGCGCCAGGTAGGAGGCAGTGTCAAGTGCGATTCTGGCTCTATGGTGGCTAGAGCCACCTGCCTCATCGCCGGAGCAAGCGGCACCGCCCCAGACGGCGATGTCCGCTTCTCCGGCAAGTTCTCTATCACGGCCGAGGGACTCCTCGACACAGGAGCCTCACACGAAAAGGGGGTCGCCCGGCGAAGGGACCTACATGCTAACTCAGCAAACAGCTAAGTTCCCTAGCCGCTAAGCTCTTTTCCATACGTTCTTCACCTCTCAAATTGTCATTGGGGAACACCCCACCCTGCTCGAATCAACCCGCCTTCGGGCCGCGAACCTCCTCGCCCCGATCACATGGTTGGGGAGCAAAGCCGCCATGTTCTCCCTCTCTTGACCACCAGACGGGATAAGCTAATGCCCTAACGCCGTGTGGGCATGACCCAGGCTAACGGAGCTAACAGCTGACGACCACCGGGCTCAGAAAAGGGGAAACAGATGTCGGGGACGCTCCCCATCGAGACGACTAGATCATGGAGTGGGAGTGGCAACGAAAGCGCAAAGATTTGACGGGCGGGCACGCCCTCAGTGTCACGATTGTTTGAAGGGGGACATAAACCCCGAATTACAGCAACAGGTTTTATAGCCTGATCCTTGTGCAGGTCACGGGGACACCGGGGGATCCACGGGCGCATCCTCCTCTTCTGGATACTCGTTGAACAGCAGCAGCTTGTCGTCGACAATGCCCGCCGTGGCAGCGACCAAGGGAACCACCGCGCTCCTGGCTTCTTCTAGCTCCTTGTCGGAGGTCTCCTTGGGCATGCCTAGGGACACTGCACCCAAGTCAGCCTGTGGGAGCTGAAGATTCGTCAAGGTCATGGCCGCGGTGGCCCCCTGGCGGACCGCGCTCCCGATGACTCGCGGAACGTGCATCGGGAAGGAGCGTACCTGTTCGACGAGGTCGTGCTCCCCCTCTGGGGGCGTCCAAGAGGATTTTTTTATTTTTAACACTTTTTGTAAACTAATTTTAAATCTAACACTGTTTTATTTTTTTTCAAAACTAACACTTTTTGCCGCGCCTATTTCCCTGGCGCAGCAAAACACCTGTGCCGCGCCATGCATGGTGGCGCGGCAAGGGGGATGACGTGGCGACGACAGGGGTGTGGACCGGTGATGTGGCAGGTTCTTGGCGCGACAGTGCCGCGCCATCCCTCACGACACGGCGGTCCCAAGTAAATATCACCCGCGAGCCGCCTCCCTGCTCGTCGCGCTGCGCTGCGTTGCGCCCGCGCGCTTACCAGCGCCTACCACACGCCGCCACCCGCTACCACCAAGCAGCTCGCCGCAATTGCGTCGGCCGCGCCACACACGGCGGAGCGCCACTCCCGCCAAGACCAAGACGCAGCGGCCGGGCCATGCCATTTAACACACCATGCACACGGCCACGGCCGCCACTGCGCGCCTCACGCCAACGCGCCACCCCCTCCGGCCGCCCGCCGCGCCCTCCGGCCATGCACATAGGTATTTATAAAATTTACCTAGCTTTTGAAAATTTCATATAGGTATTTGTTAGGGATATCAACAATCTCGTGTGCAATGAATTCTGCGTGTATGTTTCGTTAAATTTTTTTGTAAAATATATTCATCACCTTTCGTTTTAGAGTTGACAAAGAGGCTTCTAGTATATATATTATTATCGTGGGGCTATGGTTATCTTTCTATATTATCTATATCTATTTTTATTTTAAAGTTAGCAAAGAAGTTTTTAGCATACTCAGCGGCATGAAATCATGGTTTTGTTTTCCTAAATTGTCTATAGATACGTTCACCCACCTATAGATACATTCGTTCGTTTTCGTATAGCAGTTACTAACGGAACCTCTAGCATACTCATTAGCGCGGTGCCGTGAATATCTTCCCGTATTATCCGTATTCGTTTTCTTTCTAAAGTTGACAAAGAAGCTTTTTAGCGTACTCGCTAGTGCGAAGTCGTGGCTTTAATTTGTCTTTTCAAGTTGGGCGTAAATGCTTAAATCTGGGGAGCGGGTGGTGAAAGGTCGTCGCTTCTAGTGGATGGAAACGGGCTATCATGAGAGGAAAGAAAGGAAAGCTATATAGCAAATGCAGTTATGGCGTCTCCCCAATTATAGATTGTGTAAATTATGTATACTGTAAATCAATAGTGCAATGAAAAAGAAAGAAAAGCTATATAGCAAATGCAGTTATGGCATTTTCTAGTTGTCTTGTGTCTGAACAGCTATACATAGAAGTTGCTTATTTTCCTAGTGAAGTTGTTTAATATGTCTGTTAATGTTACTTTGAATATATACATGTGCTTTCATATTATGTTCATATTGCATAACAAGTAGTTCTAATTTTGCAATGCTACATAATATTAATTTGAATTTTGTTAATTTAAATATTCTAACCCTTTGTTTATCAATTTATAACAGATGACCCCTCCCACGCAGCACCCGTTGTACCCCTTCTTGAGGTGGAGTACAACAACCCGCACCGAGCACACTTCTTGACTGACACCAACGCAGAGATACCATTGCCTCCTTTGAGGCCCCGCACGCACACCAGGGCGTACCAGTGAGACGAGCGTTACGCGTCGTACATACGGCGTGCCGGCTTCCTCGAGCTTGTCCGTGTTGTCAACTACGGTCTTCCGTCCCTTGACCCAACACCACTTACTACAGTTGTAGATAGGTGCGAGTGCCTTCATTGTATGTAAACATTCTTATAATAAATTTGAGGTAACTAACAGTCGTTCTATTCTTATAACAGGTGGAGGCCTAAGACCCACACGTTCCACCTACCTTGCGGCGAGATGACATTGACCATGCAGGACGTGAAGGCTATATTTGGCCTTCGGTTGGGGGACTTCCAGTGATAAGTATAGTTGACAACGATCACTGGAGTAAGCTGGTGGCTCAGTTCACTGACTTTCTTTCACCGGACGACGAGGTTTCCAAAAAAATAAGTGAGTAATTCAAGCCTATTTAATATTTGCATTGCTTTCTTGCAGCCATCGGGTCTTATTTTCTTTGGTGAATTTTCAGAAAAAGTTTTAGTGTTTCGTCGTCGTGGATCACAGAGCACTTTGATTACTTGGACCCATAGGCTGATGAGGCTCAGATCGACAGGTTCACTAGAGTGTGGCTCTGGCACTTCCTTGGTGCTTTCCTATTCCCAGACGCCTCGGGCAACAACATCAGCTGAATCTTTCTTGACATACTACGCCAACCGTGGGATAACATAGCGGCGTATAGCTGGGGCAGCGCAGTCCTAGCATGGACGTATCGACAACTATGCGTTGCCTGTCGTCGCACCTCAGGGTATGCGAACCTTGGGGGTTGCTCCTACCTACTCCAGGTTTGGTGTTAGGAACAATGGCCCGTTGGAAGGCCCCTTGTTACTGGTTTTCCTGTAAGTGCTTCGATTCACTATATTCTTGAGAGCAGTTACATATGATGAAATTATTAATGGCCAATTCATTATCATGTTCAATACAACATTGGAACAGGCAGGATACACTCCCTACAACTCTGTATATCTAGACGCAAGCAGAGTTAGTTAGAGGGAATGCGAGGCGCAAGTACAGGGAGTACACGGACTGTCTCAACGTCCTGACATAGCACCAGGTTACGCTCTCTTTACTATCATACATGTGTCTTGTTTGATGTACACTATATCACAACCTAACTCGATTACAAAATGTTCAGGTGCATTGGTGTCAATGGGATGCTCTGGAGCTCTAGGACTATCTGAGTCCTGTCACTAGGGATGAATCAGACGAGTATCGCTGCAACGTCCCTCTTATTTTCTTCCACGTGGTCGAGATTCACTTGCCCATTAGGGTTTGTAGGCAGTTTGGAAGAACGATAGGCTACCCACCACCGCTTTACTCCACCAACCAAGGATTGCACAGGTGAGTTATCGATTAATAACAAAGCTACAATTCATAGGTGTGTATCATACAACTAACAATTGTTTTATTGCAGGTATGACCGCAGGAAGAGGTACAAGACCAATGATTGACGCGTGACACACAACACGTACATCTAGTTGTGGCAGACCAGGGACCGGTAGCCGGTCGATGCGGGTCCCCCAAATGACCAGCACACCTTTGACGAGTACCTACGGTGGCTTCACAGGTCTACAAGGACACATATCAAGCCCCCGTACACTGAAGAGGTGATAGACGAGGACGGCAAGGAAGATGTGATCAAAGATGTGTACGACGTTGCCACTAGAGATGACACACAACTACAGAGAGTCATACTTCAAAGATACGTGGTAAGATACTCGAATGCTATAATTTGTTATCCATTTGGTATTAAGTATGTGTACTAAAACTGTTCAACCGCGTTTCTATACCCAGACGACACAATTGTCAAGGCTGTCCAATGAAGCAGCGTTTCGGCTTCACGAGTCTAGAGGGCAGAGATCAGGCTTTCTCGAGGCTTTTGTGGAGGTAAACGTAAACTTGTCTATTCCAAAAATGTTTATTTAGTGTATATGCGTTTGGGAAATGCGCTAACTTGGGTGAAGCGGAGCTACAGGAAGCTGGCTCAGAAGTTGAGCTGCATGAACACTCTTTGGGTGGAACCTGATTACCCGGCGCGGTCAGGTGGCATGTCTTCTGGCTCTTTGAGGACACCAGCCGGCTCTTCTCAGCTGGTGACAGGTGCCGCTTCCGTTGTGCGTACACCACCACATTATAGCACTGGGAAGGACCCTGCAAACGAGGACGATGATGACGACGACGACGACCCCCCGGGCTTCCGCATACAGCACCACCAGCGGGACCCTTAGCAGCAGGACGAGATCAGCATGTCTCAGCTAGGTGGTGCCCCGCTTGGTACCCAATAAGCCTCACAGGTAGTAACAAAGGTAGTTTCTTTAAATACGTAGGCTCCATAAACTAATGATCATAAAGATTATAATTAATCGTGCATATCATATACTTGTAGGGTATGAGCCGTACGCACCGGCAACATGACCACACCGACGTTGGCTACACTCCCAATGCGTTGCCAACAAATCCAAAGAGACAGAGGCGTCCGAGGGATCCTTATACTCCTGAGACTTAGTTGGTTATGTGTGAACTTATGTCGAACGAATATTGTCGTCTGAAACTTGCAGACCTAGTTGGTTATGTCGAACTTATGTCGAACCAATGAAAATATTATGTGGCAACTTGTCAACTTGCGCACGGACTCCATTTATTTGCTTCAATGCATCATGGCAGCACTTGTAGTTGTTTACAGCACCGACAATAACTCCCGTTTATTTGCAATTGAGGCTGGTCGGCTTCTGTCTATGTCCAAGTTCTGCCGCGCCGTGGGCCTTGGCGTGTCAGTGCCGCGCCGTGGGCTATGGCGCAGCAGAACCTGCCACGTCACCGGTCAGCGCTCCGGTTGTCGCCACGTCATCCCCTCGCCGCGCCACCATGCATGGCGCGGCACAGGCGTTTCGCCGCGCCAGGGAAATAGGCGCGGCCAAAAGTGTTAGTTTTGAAAAAATAAAATAAAACAGTGTTATATTTAAAATTAGTTTATAAAAAGTGTTAAAAATAAAATAAAAATCTCCCAGAGAGCAGGGCGTCACACGCCTCCTGCGCGCCGGTGGCGAGCCCCTGCAACTCCGCTCGCACGGCGTCCAGCTCCCACCCACGCTCCGCTAGGGCGGTCTGGTCGTCCACCGACACCTTCGCCTCAGCCTCTAGCTCCTTCCATAGGCGGTCGCACTCCACACGCGCCTTCTTCGCCTCCTCCTCCAACCGAAGGACCTTGCCGCCCTCGTCTGCGAGCTCCATCCGCAGCATTGTGTCATGCGAAGAAAGGAGAACCGGGTTCATGGCGGCATGGAAC